AAATTTCCATTCCCGGCCATATCCATTTCTCGACATCACTGCGCGGCCCCTGCAGCTCTTACCGGCCAAATTGTTGCGCAGTTTGAAAATCTGGTGTGGCCATTCGATCCGGACCGCTTCAAAACCCCCAATTAGCCTCTTAGATCGTCAAACTCGTTCAAGCAATGACCGAGATGCGTCTCTTTCCCTCTCGCTCTCTCTTTCTCTTTCCCCTTCGTCTCTCCCGCGCACGCCCTTTTCCATCTCACTCTCATCTAACATAAAAACTAGCGCCTCTATAGAACTGGCCCGATCGAAATACCCCCGATCAGCATCTTTCGTTGCTTGATTCCATAGAGGGGTGAGTAAACTATGACTCCCCCCCCCCCCCCCCCCCCCTCCCCCCCCCCCCCCCCCCCCCCCCCCCCCCGTCCTGGTAGATACCTAAAAAAGAAAGCACCAGGCCAATAAAACCAAACAAACCAGAAAAGCCCCCCCCCCCCCCTCCTTTTCATCGCCATCTTCATTCTTCCCCACTCCTTCGTCTGTTTTCCGAGGGAACCATCCAGTGGGCGGCTTGATTAGCCTTTGCACCTTTATACCCAAGTCCAATGAAAGAATTGCGTGTTAGTGCCTGCTGCGCACTTACCTCAAAAAAACCAGCTGCAAGCCAGCACGATAATCTTTTGCCTTTGTACCCCTGAATAAATGCACAGCCAAGTAGAATGCAGCCGAAGCTTTAGGTGCACTGAGCGGAGGCTGGTGGAGCACTGGCTGCCTAGATCATTGGATGGTCTTTTAGTCCCTTTACTCAGGCCCATCGAACGATCTGCATGCCAGCATTTCTACAAGCCCCCACCGGAGCACCCTTCTAGATGTGCCTTGCTCAGGCACAGTCCACCACCCGTCGGGTCCCATGGTCGCACTGTGGCTATGCGAGCAGGGCTGCATGAGCGTCCTCCCCACCATACCAATTTTAACGGTGTCACGAAAGTCACAGGCGGGCTGATCCCCGCGACACTACTCAACAGTTGAGCCGTCTCATGTAACTCAAATTGTAATGTTCTGTAAATCTGCGTTCTGCGGGCTTCATCGTGGGTCTATATTCCAATAGCTCAGGGGTATATTAGCTGAGCTCCCACGGGTGTTGATCCTACGGGACAGTTTTCAACAGTTTGTAGCTGTACCAACTGTGCTAGGCGCAGTGGCTTGGTCCCACAGGCCTGTTTCCATCAGTCTGCGGGTGGGACAACTGAGCTAGGCCTACAGGACCAAGTACGGGTGCTGGTCCCAAAGGCCTACGCTCTTAGCAGTTCGAGGGTGTACCAACTGCGCTTGGCCTAGTGGCATTTGTCCCATAGGCCTGTTTTCAACAGCCTGCGGTGTACCAATTGAGCTAGGCCGTGGGGTGTTGGTTTCACACCCCTGTTTTGTGACAGCCTGCGGGTGTACTAGCCGTGCTTGGCCTACTGGTGCTGGTCCCACAGACCTGTTTCAACAGTTTGCGGGTGTACCAGCTGAGCTAGGCCCAGCGGCACCGATCCCACAGGACTGCTCACGATCACACCTCTCACAGCAAAACGTGGTTGGCAAATGGTGCACCCGCAGGTTCTGGTCCCGCTACTCAGGCTTTTTCCGCCTCGTGGGCTGATCACCCACCGGTCGCATGCACGTTGAATCCGGAATCCTCGGACCGCACTTCAAAACGGGCAGGATAGACGAATCCCATCAATGCTCTGAGCAGGCCTCGGCCTGCCAAGAGCGGCACACGCTCAGACCCTCGGTCGCCGTGGTGGGCACCCGTGGAGATCTGCTCCGCTCCCCATGGTAATGTCGTCCTCAGCAGCCCACAGCGGGAATCACTTCCCCGTTCAACCAAAAAGGGGGTGACAATGCGATCACCGTCCCCCTCCCGCTTCTTGCTCGGCAATTCGAACAGTCCCTAACTCTCTTTTTCAAGGTTCTTTTCATCCTCTCTCGCGGTACTCCTTCGTCGTCAATCCCAGAGCCGGTTTCCGGCCCGGTCAACAGCCGGGACCTTAAGAAAAATAAATAAATAAAAATAAATCACAAAATAAGAACAGTAGGCTTGAAGAGGACGAGGATCTGGCGACGTCCTCTTAATCTCGCCAGTCGAACCCAGACTTGGGCCCATTCGACAAAGCCAATAGTCCCTTAAGACCTTCGACCCCTCAGTCTCCATCGGTAGTGCTCCTTCGCTCCTTAATCGCTCGCTGGCCTCGAACCCCAGACCCGTCGGTTGAAGGTCCAGTACCGTAACCAATAGGGCAAAGCCCAAGTCTGAACTAAGTAGGGGCGAACCCGCATATGAATAGTCGCGGGACCGTGGTCGGTCCTTCCTACACAAACCAGGCCTCCACCTCGCCCTATTGGCCAACCTCCTGGCCGTCTGAAGACGCCGAGATGCCGCCCGATCCTAGGATCGCAGCTACTTGGTATCTTGGTCGTCGGGCGCTCGACATATTTTCGTCAAACTTTCGACTTTCCCTCATACCAGGTTTGTCAACGCCGCGCCCTTCCATGCATCGCCAAACACATTCTTCATGTGTGTGCTCAAGGCAGCGTCTTCATCTTCTTTGTGACGTACTCGTGAGAGGCTGAGCCGGCTCGTGGAGTGAAGTTAGTTTTTATAAAATAAAATAAAAATATAACCAATTTGAAAACTACAGAGGGGGTAACCGGATCCTATGACTTTGATGTCTTCGGCTGCCCTGATACTGCCGAGGACTAACGGTCACTTCGCAGTGCAACACAATAATGCGTGCCCCACATACTCTCTAAACCGGTCGTATTTGACTCGGAGTCTCGCCAAGAGTGAGGTTGTCGAGGTGAGCGCCCTGACAGGTTTTACCTTATCAACGCATTTCGTTGATCAAGGATGCACCCAGTGCGACTTTTAAAAAGGGCCGCAAATACCCTTGTAAGGGTGTTTGCTACGACTGTCCTCCCAGACCCCATTAAGCGACGTCCCTGTCGCTTTGGGTAAGGGTTAGAAAGTATAGGCGAAACCACAATCAAATGCATAGACTGAAAAGATGGATAACCAAATTCGTGTAATCGGAAGGACTCAGCTCGAGGTTTAGTACTCTAGTTCTGCGGCATCCCTATGGCGAGCAGGACTCCAACCTGCACCTCCTGTCTGACTCACAGGGATACTTCTGCTATACTACCACCCTAGGTTAGCTTCAATGCTCAAATACCAACCTCTTCCATTTGTCCTAGACGCCTTCCAGTTTTCGTTGGGTGCCGACTGAATCGGGCTGTCAAGTAACTATCATCTTCGAGCGCGGGTTTTTAGGCAAGACAACTGCCTTGAGTGGGACAAACTGCAGCACACAACAAGCGCAGGTAGCTCACCCCTCTAGAGCAGCTTAAGCTAAATCAAAGTATACCCCTCTGGGTAGCTTATCCTGCAATGAAAATAAGTAGCATACTCATCTGAGTGGCTTATCATATAAGAGCACACCCCCTTGAGCAGCTCAATTTGTGACAGACATAGTGCTGCACGTAATTCACTCCATGCAATTAAATCAAGACTCAACCCGACCTTGCGTCTAGTCATAGGTGGGTTATAGTCCTGCCCTCAGCCCACCATAGTTTGGATGATCGGGCCAAACTACGGTTCATCGTGCCATTAAGCCACGATGTTGCCTAAATTGCTTGCACAATGCTAAGGCAACTCTCTGACTTTTCGGTCTAAGTACCCCCTAGCAGTCGCCCTAGTTAGAGCCTTTGGAGTGATCCGATATTTGGTTTAATTTAGCCATCCCATATGATAATAGTAATAATGATAATCGGGATAATAATAAACAATAATAATAATAATAATAATAGTAAGTAGTAAATAATAATAACCATAATAACCCGCTTATATTATTTGCCATGGATGATGGTGCGGGTCACTCCTCTGTCTCTAAGTTCAGGCTAAGCTAGGGGTCCACTGTCCTGGTTAGGCGGGACAGCAGCCCACGTTGGGGGTTTGCCCCAACGATGCCGATTTAGCCCCCGGCTTAGGCCTCCCAAAATACTCTTGAGCCAACTTTCAATGCTTGCGGTCGTTCTGGTTGATCATGGTAGATATGACCGCCAGCCGTAGAGTCTTACAAACAAGTTTCTTTTTAGAAGAAATCCCTCATTTTATATGAACATGTTTTCTCAAGCTTGGTTATCCATTGACAGTTTTCTGCAAAAATCAAAGTTTTTTTCATCTTCACGGAACAAATTATAATCTTAAATTTTTTACTTTCATCCCACATACATAAACAGGTGGCTCCTCAAACGGGCCCTCTCCTTGAGACATACGTGTGGCTCCTCAAGCGGGCCCCCTTCCCATCAAACATTTAAGCTGCATTTCCGATTCAGCCTTTTTCCATGCATTTTTGTCGAACAATTTTTCATTGACTCTCACACACTAATTCATATGCAATCAAAGCCAGTAACCATTTTGTTTAATAATCGAATAACTTACTCACAACCACAAACAGATACAAACATCACACATGCAAGGGAAGCGAGCACAAGTCCACACTGTGAGAATATTTCATGGTTCCGTGTTTCCTCACAACATTCACACGTCTGAATCAAAACCCCAACAAATAGAACACACTCAAAAACAAAGAAAAATCGCGTACAGTGTCGTGTTCTGTAGGATACATCTGGGCAAATACTCTCTGAATCTCAGAATCAATCATGAAGAAGCAAACATCTCAAGTGGATATCACTATCTGACAATTGGAGCAGTGCTTCCGTACGAAACAACGTATCTCGTAAGAGACACTCACTAACTCAATGTCATAACCTAAAATGTCACACTCATATCAAATACACACAAATCTCACGCAAAGCTCACACAAACTCACACAAAACTCATACAAAGCTCGCACAAAGCTCGCGCAAAGCTCGCACAAAACTCACACAAAACTCACACAAAACAGGGCTTTCATGCCCAGTGCAATCTTTGAAACCCCTACTCAAGCCAGTCTACTCAAACTAGTAGTTTGTTATGTAAATACAGTTTACTGAGGCATGAGTCAATCCTGGTCACCACTACATACAGTACATGACTCAAACCCTGAACCCTAGAGTCAAAACTTCCAATGTACAAGTCGTGAGGCGTACATGTCCATGCCTTGAAGTCTTCAAGGTAGAAGATAGTAATATGGACCGTGCCCAACAACCTATCTTTATGACAATCAACTCATCCTCATCGACCCTCTCTCTGATCTCATAGTCTGGCACCCCATGCGTCTCGTGGTCATGTAATCTGTCACTCATCCTCCCTCAGCTCCAGGCCTAGTCTGTCATACACAACTCTCCTAGCACCATGACGTCTTGTAGGAAGACGAGCGCCACGCATATCCCTCACTAACCCCTGTCCATCGAACTGCACGACTCGCCTCCTGAGGTCAACCTGGAAGGCGGGGCAAACAACTCTGTCGTGCACTCCTCTATCACACCATGAGTACATATTACCTGTACTGCTGCCCTCTACCTTCGCCTTTTAAGGCTTGGGTAAGATCTGAGTCTATGTCCTCTCGAGTCGGATTCCCACATCATGTACGGCTCTATCGACCGTATTAGGACTCAACATCCTCGAGGCTCTCTCAATCGTCGCCTCCTCGTCACATCTTTCAGACCCTGAAGAAAGGAGGTGCATTATGTCGTCCATCGGCCCCGAGACTCGAGCTGGTGTAAGCGGCAGAGTCGTCGGCAGTACTGTTGCTGACCCGCTCGTGTCCTCCTGTGGCATGACATCTCGTAGCTCTGAAACTCTCTCTCGCTCGTCATGTCTGCCACCCAATCCTCGCCATGCATCCCTCTGAACCGCCAACTTTGAGGGAGGGACCCAGTCCAAACCTTGTGCCTCTGCCTCTCCCCTCCTCTGGATCTCGTCTGGCTCAAGCATGAGCTTGTCGACGACTGCTGCCTCCTCACATGTCATCCTCATAGCCCCAAGTGACTCCTCCGTCGGGGAGTCTCGCCGTGGGATATCCAGTCTCACTCCACCTTGCTCTACCTCATGAGAGACATATGCCTGTCCAATAGGAATCCGCTGCTCCTCAGTTTTCCTCCCGTCGACCACATCTGTCGTGGCCTGACGGCTCCGACTCTCCTCTAGGTCAGTAATCCTCTGCTCGATCCTCGAGATGGACTGTCTTGCCCACTCGGCGCTGGTGACAAGATCACGTACCGTGTCCCTCAGTCCTCTGTTCTCCCGCTCCAGAGCACCGATCCTCTGTACTGCACCTTGAAGCACCTCCCCTTGTGCAACCTCGGTCTGCGTGAGTCTCCCGACATGCTCCATCACTCCCACCAACTCTCGCACTGAGGTATCAGACAACAATCTCGCGTGAAGCCCCTCCTCCACCTGTGTACGCTCGCCCTCAGGCGTAGGCTCCTCTCCTGTCCGTCTCCTCATCCTAACCTCCTCCTGCCATCCGGCTGTGGCCGCATCCTCATAGAAGAGTCTTTGTGTCTGCTCCTCAGTCTCTCGCTGTAACCTGACAAGAGTCGATACCTGGCTCTCCAACTGAGATGATCGCACGGTCTCAAGGACAACTCTGCGCTCGAGCCTATCTCTATCTGTCGCGTTAGCAGGTGGCTCATACTCCATGAGCACCCTCTGAACCTGGGCTCGCCAATCACTCGCCTCTCTCTCCTGAATCCTGAGGACCGCCTCGGCCTCCTCTAGAGTCTGGACTTCCTTCCCCTCAATAAATGTACGGAGATCACTCACCACCTCTTTCAGTGCATCGTGCTTCATTTGTCTGTCGCAACTCAACTCAAAGGATCAGATGGCAACTCTCCTCGTGTAATCCCGAACCTGCTCTATCGCCTGTCGAGCTGCTACGAGGTCACTACCAATATAGTTTCTTTACAAGGTTAAGTCATCATACAGTACCCTGAGCCCACCAGTGGTCTGATCAGCCGACAAGTGTGGTCTCGCGGCCTGGCCCAGTCGCTCAAAAGCCAGTCAGCCTGAAAAATGTAATGATGGCATCCGTCCCATCTCCTCGGCTAGCCATGCATCCCTCATGATAGGCTCATGATCTATCGGTCCCCGAGACTCCGGCAAGCTCTCCTCCTCATGAGTCGGAGATGCGTCTTGGGTATGCTCCGCGCCGACCTCAATGTGGTCCCTCATACTGGCCTAAGTCTGATCACCATCTCGTCGTGGAGTATCCCCAAAGTCTAGTGGTGATGTCTCCACTCGCTGGGTCTCCATGTCCTCTATGAGACCCTCTCTATCTAGCCCCAAAACCTTGGCCTCAACTCGCTCTGTCTCCATGTCCATGGGCGAGGGTTGGGATACCTCCTGTCGCATCTGCATCCTAGGAGACTCCATGCCATATAGTTGGGCAGTCAATGAACCCTCAGGCTCAGTTGGATGCTCAACCAATCGACTCTCGCTCAGTAATGGTGATCCGTCCAATGATAAGGGTCTCATCGCACCTCTCTCACCATCCTCCACTGTCGGCTCTGACCGAGACTGGACCCTCTGCCCATCATACCCTAGCTCATCATGCATCGGCGTCGTCTCTCGCGGCCACTCAGGTTGAGGCTCCTCGTGCTCCTGCATCGGTCCTATAGTGGCAGACCCTATCATAAGCAGTAGCTCCCTTTGTGGGAGGTTTAATGCCATGTCCCGTGTGTCTCTCCATCGATAAGGCCTCTCCGATGCAGCATCGGAAACCACTCCCTCCATGGTATCTGTCTCTGTAGGCCGGGCCGAAGCAATCGTCAACACAAGCTGTAGGGAAGCCTCCTCCCCATCCCGTATGGGTGTAGGTGGAGTAGTCCGATCTGTCTCAAGCGCACCACGGTCTCTAATCCCTATCTCAGCCGGACATGTCTCTGGCGCTGGCACCGTCCCAATCTTTGTAGATAAGACACTCTGTCTCTGAGACCCTACTAACAAAACCTCCTCCCCCACATCACATGTCGGGAGGGTTCTCCCAATATGAACCGTCAACACGTGATCACTCTCCTCTAAGTCATCCCCTCTATCCTGACATCCTTGACGCTTGCCTGTCCTCGGTCTGCGTGGGATCTATGGCTGCTCACTCTCTCTCTGCCGCTGTCGCAATCGCCCCTCATCATCCTCATCCCTCTCTGGCTGCGCTCGTGGGCGTACCCTGAGCTCCGGGATATGATCCCCAACCTCTCTGCGCAGCCTGCGTCGTCTGTCTGCGGTGAACGCCCCTCTAAGCGTCGCTATAAGCTCCTCCCAAGCCTGCACTGTGTGTGACATGGCACTCACCTCATGTCTAAGATCCGGGACAACCCAGTGTCGTACCTGCCTAACCCTCCGCGCCTCGGTCCATCTCTGCCCATCCCCAAAAATGACGAAAACCTCAAGGAACTCATCCAGGTTAGCCCCATCAAACCGCATGGGCCTACCCTGTCGATCAATGGGCTGAGGCCGCAATCTCAGCATCCGCCCGGCGAACTGCCTCCAATCCAATGACTCTCTCACGATCTAAGCCACACGCTCCTCATAGTTGCCCGTACCCCAGACCCTCTCAGTCATCTGAGCAAAATCTAACCGAAGGATCCAAACCTGCCTAACTAACCCGTCCAAAAATGAAAATACATGTCCACCCCCGTAACGGAATTGGTCCAATATCAAAGACGTGGTTAGTCGCTCATACTCCTGTCCCGCCATCCTCACGCCCCTCAAAATAATGGCCAACTTCGAAAAGCCAACCCTACACAAATAAGAAGGACGGACGATAGAGGAAACAAAAGTAAGCACAAGAGAGGAATGAGGAATGCCTTTGCTGGCTGACCCTAGCAGATCTTTCATACCCTCAGACGACTGACCTGACTGACGAACTAGAACTCATACGAAGACCTATCTAAATAATAGCACACAATTATATCCCATCACTAATGCAGAGTACCATAGAGTAAGACGAGGAATCGAATTCTATTTCTACTCACGGTGTCTTTCCATCGCCCTTACCTTAGTCTCGTGCTTTGAACTTTTTCAGTTTCGAACCGGAGACCCAATCTCTCCACGACGTGCCGTTAAGCTCTTCAATTTTATATGCTTCATGCTGCCCACACCGTCTAATGCGATACGGGCCTAACCACCGCTTGTCCAACTTGCGCGACCACTGTTTTTCTAGCGACAAGGCGTATAATAGCACCACATCTCCAACTTCTAGTGGCTCCTTCCTGACTCGTGGGAGGAGATCCCACCTCTCCTTGTCCCCTAACCAACTGTCCGTTATTTGATCTGCAGCTTCCTGGATCCTCTCTTCTGCGATGCCAACTTGTCTGGCCCGCAAATCCAGCAATTCCTCGAAGGACAAGGTGCTTTCCATATCCTGCCTCCTCCATGTCTTCAGAAAGCTCTCTATCGGAAGGGTGGCATGCTTTCCATACCATAGCGTTGCTGGCGCGTACTTCGTGGACCTCTTAATCGTAATATTTTCGACGAAGAATGTTGCGCGCAGATGCTTAGGTCACTGATTCTCCCTGTCGTTCGTCCATTTCGCTAGTAGATTCGTGATGGTGGTATGCCCTCTCTCAACTGGAGCATTCGCCTGCGGATGTGCCCTAGTCGTGTAGCTGGCTTGTACGCCATACTTTTGCAACAAGATTTGCACTTCTCCACAAGTGAACTCTGACCCCTTGTCCATCACAAATTCCACTACGAAAGGATACCTGAGGAAATATTCGGGGATGCACAAAACCAATGTCTCACCCGTCTTGGTGCGTATGGCTCGCCTATCAACAAACCCCGTAAGATTATCCCGTGCGTCGAAGATGTAGTTGTAGCCGCCCACTCCCTGAGGCATTGCCAGTAGGTCCAAATGGACCACTGCTCCTGCATCTCGCACAATTCGTGGGTGCAATGGCTCCTTGTACATAGTCGATGCCCTGATTTGACATGGAATACATGACTCGCAATACTTGCGAATCATCTCAGTCATTCATTCCCAATAATAAAGTTCACGCGCCTTCGCATATGTCAAGGCAAATGCTCTGTGACCACCTGCGGGCCCATCATGAAGTGCAGCTATAACGTCTATCTGACGATTTCGGCCGCAGATCACCCTTCTCGGGTTGCAAATCTCGTTTTTGATGAAAAGGTGTCCATCTCGGACTAAAAAGCGAGGTCGCATCTCGAGTACCTTCTTAGTTGCTTCTCTTTCTATGATCTCACATGAGAGAAGCAAACCTAGTTCACGGTAGACGCCTTCGTACTCATCTGCACGAAAAACTTTCATTATCTCTCCTTCCTCAAACTCGTCTTCTTCCATATCTCTAACAGGGTCTTGATTCCCTTCTCCATCCTCGTGCACTTGAACAATTGAGTTGACGAGGAAATCTGCCGCATACCTTGCTTGAGCGTCGACTGAGTAAGCTCCTACTCGGAAGGTCTCTGCCAATGCGAACTTAGCCATCCACTCAACATCCTTCCCTCCCCAAGGATCCTCTTCCACGAAGTTTTTGAGGACTATATCCGCTCGCTTCACGTACCCTCCATAAGCAAGAAAAACAGATTGTCCTTGCACAGTGAATCCACTGATCCCAACGACATGTCCATTGATATGGAGTTTCACGTCCTCCTCCTCATCGAGGAATGCATCCACCAGAGGTATATCCTCATTAACTCCATCGCCGGACTTATCCCAATTGATCCGACTAAGCCCGTCAGCCCGATTCTTATTCCCAGGTATGCGTTCCAACTCAGAGTCAAACATCCACAAATACGTGAGTCATCTGGCAATAGTTGGGTCTGACGGTGCGTAGTTTCTTAATGAACCGGCCAATGCGGTCGGATCGACTCTCAGCACAAACCTCCTTCTGAAAAGGTAGGTTGAACTGTGAGTAGTTTCTCTCAGTGTCATTCAAGGTTCGACTCTTGAACCTCAAAGGCCTCTCCTCGCCATTTACATCAGCTTGGATCAGAATGTCGCCCAGAGTTGTAGGCCCTGCATCGGTCTCTACGATGAAAGGATGTTTTGGCGTTGCTTCGAAGTCAGGAACTCCCAACACCAGACCACCTTCTCTGAACTCCCTTTTCAAACTACTTACAACTCCTTCCAACTTCTTATCCCATTCTCATTCTTGATCCTTCCTGACAAACTTCCTCAACTGCTCTGTCTTCTCAGCGAACTTCTTAATGAAAACTCGCCAAAAGCCACATGTCCCCAGGAAGCTACGAATTTCACTAACAGATTTGAATGGCACCCGCCATTCGAGTATCTTGTTAGTTTTCTTGATGTCAATGCGACGACCGCTCTCGTTACATACGAAGCCTAATATGGTTGTCTCCCGCATACACTGTTTCGACTTCAGTCCGCTCGCGGTAAGGTTGTAATCCCTCAAAATGTCAAGAATCCAAACAATATCTTGTATATGATCCCAGACGAATTTCCTTACCCCAAGCATAACTTCCGTCGCATCCTTCTTCTTCCGGCCTTTCACGGCCAAATCGTCAATGTATGGTTGCGTAAGATGTGGACTAATCGTCTGCATAACGCGAAACCATATGCCTCTGCACCATCGCCACAGCATTCGTCCACCCTTGTGGCGCCACGTTCATATGGATTAGTCCTCTTGGTGTATGCATCGCAGTCATAGGTCTATCAGGTGGCTACACCGGGAACTGATCGTACCCCGAGTACAGGTCTATCAAGGAAATGATAGGCCTGCCAGCACAAGATTCTGACAGCGCATCTGCGTTCGGCAAACCTCCCGCATCTCGTATCGTTACCGCATTCAGGCGATGAAGGTCCTGCACCCACCTCAGGGTACCGTTCCGCTTGATAAAGCAGAACCACGGTGATGCGTAAGGTCCACTTGAATAGTCGGCTACATGAGAATGAATCTTGTCATCCAAGTAGTCGACTACTCTCCGTTCCTATACCGGATTAGGATAGCGTGGCCCTCGCAAATTCCATGGTACATGAGGCACAGTGTGGATCCGGATCATCGGAACTTTATCCACATCAAGGCGCCCGTGCTCATCATCGCCAAACGCATATGCGCGATGCCGCTCCTTCATTACCTCTACCATAAGGGTCTTCTCTTGTGGAGTGAGGAATCTTGGCTCTCCTATTATCAGGTCTCCCTCAGTCCTCTCATTGATACGGCACGGCCCATGTTCTGCATCCTCCTTCATTTGCCGTATCAACTCACGTTCCTGCTCATAGTAGAACTCTTCTTCCGCAGTTATGAAGACAGGAACGTGATGACTCTTCTCACTCACGCGTTTGTACCTCCTTTTGGAGCCCTGCTTAAGCCCACCCCTAAAAAAGGTTGGCTTGCAGCACGATTCTGAGGTACCCCGGGCTCACTTGTCCTTGTCGGTAATCGATATACAAGCTTCATTTCTCCCTCACCGGAATCTTCCACTATTCTCTCTCTCAAAGCCTCTACAGCAATGGGATCTGCCATCCCATATGACGACACTATCTCCATAGCATCCTTGATGCTGGTTAGGCTTCAGCACATCTCGCCAGTAGGCTCACATTCCTTTTCGTCTTCACCCATTAATTTCCTCCTCTCCCCTTCAGATTCCTCAAAGGTATAGGAACCTGGGTTCGGCCTATTCCTCAAGCTACGAGGTCCTGTATTGTGACAGGTGATGATCTCGTAGTTGCCGCAGACTGGATCACTTAAGATGACGTACATTGTGTTGTCATGCTTGTCGAGTATCATCGATTCAATGCGGCAAAGGAATGACCTTCCCAGCAGGAGAGGATGGTACAAATCGGGCATAACGAAGAAGTAGGACCGCACCTTCACTTTCCCGATTTCAATCACCACATTTGATGTTGTCCCAGTAAAAGGAGTCTTCCCACTTGCGCCATGGAGGAATCTTGAGTCCATTCGATCGATGTCCATCCCCAAGCGGAGTGCGTCAGATTCCTTAATGATATTCATCTCCGCTCTTGTATCCAGCATTCCGCTACACGGCTTACCCTTTATACTCAGGTTCACACTCCCAGTCCCGACCAATTTCCAATCCATTTTCCTCCCAGGAACTGCCCAATGAGCCTCGGCAGGGATGAGATCTCCTAGTCGTACGCTCGCCACCCTTCGATGAGAGAGTCGCGTTTTGAATCCTTCCCTAAGCTTAGGCGCTGAAGCGAGGATATCCTTCAAATTAAGCAGGGCATTATGACCCTCTAGAAGCCTATCGACCAAGGCTTCAATGTATAGGCCATCTTCTAATGGTACCGTGTACTTCTGTTTCCGCGAGCTTTCTCCTTTTGCTGCTTTCTTTGACCTCTCTTCCGTCTTTCTCTTTTTCGCGCGCTGGGCGGCTTGCTCCTCCTCTTCTTTCCTTAGTCGAGAATAAGGGGAAACTTATATTATTAGATACAGAGATTTTTAAAGCCCGAGTTGGCGCCTTAGAGGATAGTGGAGCCACTCGCAGTTATATCAGTAGGAAGGCGCTGCAAAAGCTGAAGTTGCAGTTGAAAGTCTAAAGATTGGCAGACCCCATAATATCCTCACGGACAATCGTACCATGCGAGTAGAGGAGTACGTAGAGGGAGTCAGGCGTATTTCTGCCTAGAACAGTTCAACAGGATGGGAAGGTGGAGAAAGTCCTCCATTCCCTGACTCTCGTCGTAGAGGATAGCCTCCCGTTTGACATAGTCCTAGGTATGGACTGGGGAGAGGCAGCAGGGGCCACACTCCACTTGAGAGAGCACGAGTGTAGGCTCTGTAGTCCATCAGGCGGTGTCAAGACTGCCCGTCTGTTTCATGTGTCAGGAGTAGATGACTCCCTGGCTCATTGTTGCCTTAGCGCTCCTGCGTTTGCAAGATTAGTGAAAAAGGAGCAGCTAGAGTAACAGGTTTTTGTAGCCTATGTTAGGCCAGTTACTGAGCCTAAGGAAGAGAAGCCTATAGATCCTGTTATTGCCAAGTTGCTGGAAGAGTTCACAGACTTAGTGAAGTCGTCGACAGGAGCAGTACCGCGGCCTATCCAGCACCGCATTGAGATTGAGCCTGCAGTAGAACCCCCAAAGGAGCCGTGTATAGGATGTCTCTGCGGGAGTTAGAGGAGCTGCGCAAGCAATTAGACGAGCTCCTCGAGAAGGGTTGGATTAGGCCTAGTTCATCTCCATACGGAGCACCTATTATGTTTGTCCCCAAGAACGAGGGAGAGCTTAGGATGTGTATAGATTATAGGGGTCTGAATGTTATCACCGTAAAGAATGTCGAACCACTGTCTAGAATAAATGATCTTTTGGATCGAGTGCAGGGGTGCAAGTATTTAACGAAGTAGATTTGAAGTCGGGATATCATCAGATAGAAGTTCATCCTGATGATCAGTACAAGAAAACTTTCTGGACTAGGTACGGGCACTGCGAGTTCATCGTGATGCCCTTTGGACTAACCAACGCTCCAACAACTTTCCAGCGATGTATGAATGATTTGTTTACGCCTTGGTTAGATAGGTTTGTTGTAGTTTATTTAGATGATATCCTAGTGTTTAGTAAGACCCTCCAAGAGCATCAGGGTCATCTCAGGCAGGTCTTGGAGAAGTTGAGAGAAGCTAACTTCAAGATCAATGCGAAGAAGTGCGAATGGGCAAAACCCAAGTTTTGTATTTAGGCCACGTCTTAGACGGAGACGGTATCAAGCCCGAGGATAGTAAGATTGCAGCGATCAGGGATTGGCCTACACTGCGTACGTTGATAGAGTTGCGGTCGTTCTTAGGCCTAGAAAACTATTATCGGAAATTCGTAAGGAACTTCTCCACTATCGCTGCGCCCCTTCGCAGATTGCTAAGGAAAGAGACCATCTGGAAGTGGGACAAGGACTGCACGTTTGCTATGAAGAAGTTAAAGCAGACACTAATAGAGTATCGAGTCCTTAAGGTGGTCGATCCGTCCTTACCCTTTGTCGTCACTAAGGACGCTAGTCAGTACGGCATAGGTGTTGTTTTGCAGCAAGACGATGCCAATGGTTATCGGGCTGTAGAGTTCATGTCTGCTAGGATGCCTTCAGAGAAGGTTGCGACATCTACCTATGAAAGGGAACTCTATGCTCTCAGGCAAGCGTTAGAACACTGGAAGCACTACTTGCTTGGGAGGCACTTCAAAGTCTATTCCGATCACGAGACGTTGAGATGGTTAAAGATGCAGGCCAAGATGACACCTAAGCTTACTAGGTGGGCCGCAGAAATAGACCAGTATGATTTTGAGCTCAAGCCAGTCAAAGGGAAATACAACGTAGTTGCGGACGCTCTGAGTAGGAGAGCTGACTACTTTGGAGCGATAGTTCACTATCTAGTAGACAGATCACCCTGGATATCCCACACGCGACACTTTGGACACTCACACAACACACACACTCTTCGCCCTAAGCTACAGCTATGGCAACACTGGCTGTCTCTACCTATCGCTATGGCTACACTTCGTCATTCTCGCCCACTTCGACTTCGGGCCTGCTGCAGACCTCCTCGCACAAGACGCTGAGACAGCGCTTCCGCATGGCTTCCGCAGGAATGAATGAATGGTTGTGCGCGGCCTCTTGATTTATACTTCTGTGACTCGTTGGTCTGCCCTGTTTCCCTGGCCCACGGTGTGCACAGTCCCAGACGGTACTTGCTGGAATGGACCGGACTGACAGGACTGCGACTGGTGACTCTGCACGGTGGACTCCCACCACTTGCCCACTTGCCTCGACCTACAGTGGGCTGACTTCCGAAAGGCCACTTCTAGAAGCACCTACTTGGCCTTTCGGTTTGGTAGCAGCTACAACTCTGGCCCTTTCAAGTAAGTAGCAGCTACGACTTTGACCCTTCGGAAAGTCTACAGCTAAGACCTCTAGACGCTCTAGACTCCTATCCGACAGGTCTACAGTTCGAATCCCCTAGACCCTATAACCTACTATGACCTACCTACCACTGGCGGTCCTACAGCCCGCGGGTTCAACTCTACGTGTTGACACAGGTACTGTACACAGGTAAGGTGGGGACTATGGATCGAGCCCTGGGATCTGCATCTGCTACCGCGAACTGGTTAATACCGTTTCACTCCCGCCGGCCTAACTTCGAGGTCCTCCGAGAAGATTTCAGTCCAAGGCAGGACCTTTACCCTTTCTATCTCTTTCGTAGGCCTTGACTATGTCGGGAGCGGTCTCTAGAAGTTCCGTTTTGGTGTACCATCGGTCGTCTTCTGGTTCTTGATAGGCAAATCGGGCCTTGTACTGTTTCTATGGACGACCCCTACCTCCTGTTCTAAAGACATCTTCACCTACAATGTCGTCAATGTCGTATCTTCCATCCATGTCTGGAGGGATCATGGATCGCCTAGATGGAAACTGGTCACTTACTGTGCATGGCAATAACTTTGACGCATGGAAAACAGGGTAGGTGTGGAGGTGTACTGGAATCTCGATGGTGTAGGATGGCCCATCTTCTCCGCCCTTGACTTCTAGAACTGGCCATGGTCCTCTATACGCGGGCAGTAACTTCTGCGAGATGTTATCCTCAGGAGTAAAATCTTTAGCCTTGACCCAGACTAAGTCGCCTATTTGGAATTGTGACTGGCGACGATGTTTGTTAGCTTGCTCTATCATTCTGTGCTGGGCCTTCCTGAGGTTCTCTACAACGGTAGCTAGCTCTTTATCGTGCTGTATAGCAAACTCCCTAGTACCAGGCGGTAGCCTATGAATCTGATCCCGGTTAAGTCCTTCAAATGGTCTGCGCGGTCTAAGGGACTTGTGCAATTCGTTGGGAGTGCGGCACGTAGACAGATGCACACTATTGTCGTAAGCACTGGCTACCTTGGGGAGCATCTCATCCCAGTCAACTTGATCTGGTCTAATTTGCATTCTTAGAACTTGTTGCAGGATCTTATTCATCTGTTCAGTCTGACCGTTAGTCTCTGGATGACGGCCAGATGACATCAACAACTTAGAGCCATAGACTCTCATCAACTCCTGCCAGTTCTGACTCGTGAACCGGGTGTCTCTATCAGGAACTATGGACAATGGGACCCCGTGCTCACTGACCTAGTGATCAAAGAACTTACGGATCACTAACTCTGTTCGTGTCTCTGAAGGCAAAGGTACAAAAACAGCATACTTGCTAAATCTATCGACAATCACCATGACTTGGCTCTTGCCATGCCTACTGCCAGTGGAAGTGAACTCTTACCTGGAAGCCATATCTCTGAGTACTGAGTGGGCGCATGTCGCCAGTTTGTTGTGCTGCTGTTCCCATGCATGAAAAGTGTGAATGAAACGAGTCTGATTGCAAGTTGCTGCAGCAGGGTCTTGACTACTCAACTGTCGTGATGCGCTACTCACCGCAACATCTTTTGAGAAGGGTGTCAGTTGTCAGAGTCTTGATATGGCTAGGCTGTGTTGCTATGCTATCAAGAGGGACCTCGGGCTGCCCATTGATAGCCAGAGCTCTGTCGGAATAAAGGAGGAGCTAAAAAAAGTCGAGAACATCAGAAACATTTTATCCGATAGACTGTTGCAGAGGGTCTCGCTACGAGCCTTTACAAGATTGTGGGCTGGTATCTTATGATAGCAAGTAGGTTTACCTACTCAACCCGCACTCACCCTGACAACCACACCTTGCATTGAACCCAGACAAAAAATGGCATTTCCTATTGTTCGAGTCATTGTCAAATAGGTTTGTTTTTTGCCTGAAACGGTCCCCGAACGACAAAGACAGGTCTGACCAAATGACAAGTCGGAAAAACGGAGTCTGGTGTTAAGAAGGTTTGAGAGTGTGCAGTAGAATGGGTAAAAGTGAACGTGGGTTTGATTGCGTCACAGAGAGAGAGAGAGAGAGAGAGAGAGAGAGAGAGACACACACACACACACACACACACACAGAGAGCCACACAGAGAGAGAGAGAACCTCTCTCTCTCTCTCTCTCTCTCTCTCTCTCTCTCTCTCTCTCTCTCTGTGTGTGTGTGTGTGTGTGTGTGTGT